ACTTATTCCTCAATAGTCTCGTTTTCAAACTGCTTGAAGCTACAAATCTCAGCCTGTCTTTGTCTGATGGTAATTCTCTATATAGGTTCTGAGGTACATCATTTGACGTTGTTCCATTTGACTTCAATGCTGGCAAATTTATGTTTCAATTTAGTCTTAGAAAGAAGACGGGAACCCCATTGGACTATTATTGTAGTGTGACCATGCCCAGCGTTGAAGTATTTTATCAAAGTTTACAATGTTGGTGTCCACAGCTGTTGCCGATGCAGGAAAATCGCTCAAAACAATTTGATGTCCATAGGCTAACACTCAATATTCACTGTGGACCTTGTGTATGACTGAAGAGGTACATGCATGTGTATTATATAGGATTTGTTGTTAGCGTAGATACATGTGATTATGTAAACACGTAATGTTATGATGTGTGTATATTAATATAACATACAGAAGGTTATATTTGGTGACGAGTACGCAGTGAACTAAGGTGTATATATAGTGTAGAGTATTGCGCAGTATTGATGAATGTATAAGGACAGTTCGACAAAAGCCGCGTTGGGGATGACGTCAGCATCACACTGAACACACTGAGTCCACAGCCTCGTGCTTCTTAACCCCATCTCAGACAATGGGGACTTTGTTGGCCGTACGTCAACGACGCCATTGCTGTTCTCCGCCTGTGTAACTAATACCTATATGATTTATGGGAATTAAGTCATCTGTGTCAGCGCATGTTGTGCGAGGCGAATGTGGAAGATGTCCACTGTATATCTATGCCTTCATGAAGATCTGTTAAATGTTGGTGTCAAATATTGATAATGTCAAATGATCATTATGTCAAGAAATGTTATAATATGCTTGTACAAATAGAAAGTAAAGTTGGGCATCTGGGATTAAGCAACTCTACACGTCTGTGAATTCGGATTTGTTTGGCAGCAAGGACAGATGGTGCGAAATTAAATCTTATTTTCAAATGGATTTTTAGGTACCGGACGAAAAGTTTCGAATCAACAAGATTGGCATGCTTCATTAAATGACGCAAAAACATGTGGATACTCCTTGTTTAAACCCAGTTTCGGTGTTGAACCATATTCCACATAGTCAACCATTTCAAATATAGACGGGCTTTGCTCAGTTTAGATCTGGTTCTCATAAACTACGAATGAAAACGGGCTGTGTATTGGAGAAGCTAGAAATGAAAGATTAATATCTAATATCTGAAAACGTCCACATATTACTTCTTACTCATTTGCTTAAAAATACGTATTGCGACGTTTGTACAGTCCTTTAACCTATAACAAATATCCAACAATCCACAAATGTAATATGTTTATGTTCCCATCAAATGCATCCAACTTAAAATATTTTTGATCAGTAGATATATCAAGCTACAGTAAACTACGTTTATAACGAACACTCTTATAACGAAATGACGGATATAACGAACTATTTTAGCCCCGTCCATTTGCTTGTATATATGTTGTATGTGTGCTTCTTAAGAACTACCTTTAAAACGAATAAAAATTATTGGTCCCTTGAGTTCGTTATAACCGTAGTTTACTGTATATGCTGTATATATGCTTATAACGAACTACGGTTATAACGAACTAAAATTTGTGGTACCTTTGAGTACTGTTCGTTATAACCGTAGTTTACTGTACTTAATTTCCTTGTCAAGTCACAACGGGTAGGCTTGCACCTACATGCATGGCGAGCCTGACGCAACGCCGCGACCCGAGACGGCCAATCACAGAGCATGTTCTCACGACTTCAGCCTATAATTGTGTCGCCTTGGGCGACGTCACCAATACGACGTTACCTATCTGTTCACTTTTCTAAAACTAAATTTCAATTACTCCAAGTTCAGTAAACTACGTTTATAACGAACACCCTTATAACGAACTGACGGTTTAACGAACTATTTTTGGGCCCCGTCCATTTGCTTGTATATATGCTGTCTATATGCTCATAACGAACTACGGTTAAAACGAATTAAAATCATTGGCCCCTTTTAGCTCGTTATTACCGTAGTTTACTGTAGTGTTCATCGCACTCTTTTCGTGTAACGGCTGTCACTACGGCTGCAATGCAGGTTGTTGAACACAGTTCATCATGGAGGTCCGCTGCATACACAGCCTTCAGAAGGATTCCAGAGTTTATCTAAGTCAATGGGTGCACGTTACACTGGTTTGTGTTTCTTTAATGAGTTTCAGGAACAACCTTGTTCATTCGGTCAAGTTGATTAAGTCCTTCGCTCTACAAGGAGGTATATGCGGTGGACAGCGAGTGAGGACAGGAACGTTTCGGCTTCTGGGTCATAACGACTTCTGTGGCGTGCTTTTTGAGATCCTGTATGCATCCGTGAACCAAGACCTGTTTTCCCGTGGTTGCAGTGCCCTTGGGATGAACTTATGTATGCTTCCACGGCTGGTTTTGAGGGGTCCAGAAGCTGAAAGGTCATAGACTTTAACTGTAAAGACGTGCGTGCCTGCGTGCGTGCCTGCGTGAGTGCCTGCGTGTACTAGTCTGGACTAATGCTGTTTTTATAGTGCTGGCCAACTGAGACACCATGCCGCACTTCAACATGTATACCCCACTCAGACACAGACGGGTTCTTGTTTTGTAATTTGAATTCTCTGTTAGCGCTCGATTTGCTACATTCAAAGAATATAAAAGAGGCGACTAACGGGATCGGGTGGTCAAGTTTTGCTGACTTGGTTGATATATATCGGGCCAGCAATTGTTCCACTAAATCCCTGGTCCAATTGTCATAATCCTCAATGCTGTCACAGAAAGTATTTGAGAAAAGTGGAATTAATATCATGTGGGTTCTAAAAGCTCAAAGGATTTGCTGCTTTCATGTTTGCAATCCCAGAAAAGAACCAAGTTCAATACTGCCAAAACCATTTGATTTTTCAATTCTGTACACCACTATCCCACATTTGTAATGAAATAATAAAATTGCCGGTAGACTACACAACATGTATGTAATAAATAGGATATTCCATGTGTCTCGTGAAATATCATGTTTCTCTCATCTCGTGACGGAGGAAAAGGAGATATTTCATATTTCATATATCATGTCTGGACGACCTTGTAGTTAAGGAAGATACTAAACTGAAAACCGATATCTGCTACAAACCAACGGACACCCATCAATACTTACAATTCAGTTCATGTCACCCCAGGCATACAAGAACTAACGTTCCTTATTACTTGCGCGGAATGTATGCACCGTTGTGTCGGAAACGGACACAAGAGACTTAAGATTGAAACAATTGACAGGATATCCGCTTCGCATCATAAATGACGCCATGGAAAAGTCGATAATTACAGATTATAGCGTATATTATTAGTGTGTTTTCGTATCGTGTATATAATTATATCATGTATTATGAATAAAAATCGTATTATGCGAGCATTTGGCGAACATAATCGATATTCCTTTATTCTGTATATGATATGAACCATCCGGTAAAACACGAGGCTGATAATCTCTTCATCATATAAAAAAAATGTCATTCTTAAAATAATGGATGTATAAGGCGTTATTTCACTCATAAATAGACTTTAGAAGTCGCGTATGAAAACAAGTTGTGAGTGAACCGCCCATGTTATCATGTAGTGCCTCATACTTACAGTCCTATTTGTCACCATGCTTCGATGACACATAACGTATCATTCGTGACGTATGGCGCATGAAAGTAGTTCCTCATTTGCATATTTATCTGATCATTATACTAAGTTTATCGAATTGGTTTATCGCATCGATAGCACATGACCTTTTCTGATGAAAAAATAATTATAAAATTTCTCTTCCTCCAATCCACCCCCAAGTCAGTTATATTGACTATATACGGTCATAATATATAAAAGTAGATCAAAGTGGGAACGAGTTATTTTTCTTTCTTAAAATAAAACTTTTCACCTTTTCACCCGAAGAACAAGATTTTTAGAAACTAAATAGAATATCTTTTAAATGCCACATATTTATATTTCGGACACCGATCATGCGGTATAAACATAAGCATACAATGAAAACAGCATGCCTCGGGGTTGCTACAGCAAGGCGGTGCGGTCAAAGGTGGCATAGCATCACTGAGATCATTTGCAGACAGACAGACAATAGTTTATTAACGTCTCACTTCTGTACATACATAAAACAGCTTTGTACAACTTGACATAGTTAAAATGTACAGAACCATTCAAAAGAATTATGAGAGACAAATTATCACAGAATTTATACATAAATGATATAAAGATGATATAGTAAAAAGTTATCCATATAAAATATGTTTTCTACGATTAAGAATTAAAAAGCAGACTTTGGCAAGTATAAAACACACACTGGAGTCACTGAAAATTAAACAAAGTTTGTCGATATCAGGTATATCTAAAACATTATAAGATTTAGCAATACATTCATTAAAAAGAGTTGCCCTGATATCGTCATATAATACGCAGTGAAACAAAACATGGACCTCGTCTTCTACGCTGTCATTACAGTGAAAGCATTTTCTATTGTTGACAGGTACACCTTCGTACCGACCGGTTTCCACTCGAATAGGAGCCACAAAACAGCACAAAACGTAAGGCTAACTAAAACTATTACGCTATACAAACAATGAATGGAGTGCCCTATCGGGTACTACACATTGAACGGTACACGATGCTCGTTTATTCACATGACGAATGACGGGCAACAAAGCGCCTCTCAAAGCTCACTACAACTGCACTGCACGGAACGAGCTCAGTCGCCACAAAGCTTCGGACTTATTTCAGGTGTTGGGATTTACAAATACGTCACGTAGTGGCTCATTCGGGGCCAACTCATTCTGGTAAAATCCACATGGTTTCAGTATGTGCGCAGAAAGATGCGTGTGGTAACGAATAGTCAGGAATATCGACTTGTCGTTTTTCGATTGGTTTAAATTTCTGTGACAAGTGTGAGCTGTATTTCTATTTATAGCATATGGTTTTCCCCGGACCTTTCTTCTCGGTTTCGTGGAAACGACCACATATAAATATACGACCTGTTTTGGTCGTCGCTATTTTACACACTTTTCGAGACCGCGGAAGCGTACCGCTTTTATCGAGTGGTATAGCTCTTCGTATCTCGCGTACAACTCAGTTTGACTCACGATCACATCTCCTAGCTGAGCTAACGTCTTTGCTTGAATACTTTAAGAACAGAAAATCAGCAATATCATCAAAATGGATCCAGTTATTATTATTGTTATTGTTATTTCGATACTTATAGTGCTTGGAATAATAATCGGATGCGTCTACTGTTGCTGTTGTAGGTAAGTATTAAACATATTCTAATTTCAATGTGGCACATTCTGAATCAAGAATGAGAACATGACACAAACAATTTGAAACAAATATATCATGGAAAAAAACTTGCACTTTGTTTGAATTCCTGAAACATTTTTAATGTGAAAAATAATAAATGCCTTTGTTTTGTTCACATGAACCACACTTCTCTGTAACAGTTTTCCCTCTAATGCTTAGCCTAGTATGATAACTCGCCCCGTGTAGATCCGGGTTAACCTTGGTCTCCAGCAATCCATGCTTGCTGTAGGAGGCGACGTACGGGGTCGGGTGGTCAGGCACGCTGGCTTGGTTGATGTATCGTATGCCAAATGCGCAGATCGATGATGACAATCACTGGATTGTCAGACTCGATTATTTACAGACCGCCGTCATATGCCTGGAATATTGCTGGGTGCGGCGTTAAGCAACAAAGAAACAAACTGTGCTTACTCATGTAGCATGGATATGGGTAAACTATTTCTATATACAGTTATTTCTAAGCTATAGTTTGCACGGGGAAGTAGGTCAGACAGAGCGTGCGTCCCTCTGATTATTGTGTTGGACTGATACAAAAGTTACTTGTGTATAGATTTATAGTTCGGAATGTTTTACAAAATATACTTACGTTGAGTTTCCCTCATGCACACAAGGCATGTGTGAGACAAAGCACACGTTTAAAAAATGTCTACATCTATCCCGCTGTTATATAATTACTTTTATCAGATTACCCCTGTGACTTTCTCAGAATAAAAATATATAAAGCACAGGGCCGTACAATCCATGCATCCGCACGACAGCAAGATATGCATTCGCAGTGGCATGTCGACTGAGAAACGCATTCAGGCTACACTTGCACAGAACATATCACTTCATATTTGCCTGCTATTCGAGGCCACTCGAAGCACTTATATTCCAGCCGAATGACGGCGACCTATAAATAATCAAGTCTGGGCCAGACAAACTATCATGAGCATCGATCCAGCCAGACGGGGTACGATACGCTAAAAAACTAAGTCCCGAGCCAGACTATAGGTCTGACAGAGTTATAAAAATTGTATCGTAAAAAGTAAAAAGTTTCAAAAGGAATTTGTAATTTGTTTGTTTCGGATGTAAACCCAAAATCAAGCGAAAAGATATTTATGAATCTCAGTTTGATATAAAGAGTATCTTATATTGGTGGCATTTGACAAATTATTCGCCATTATTCAGCATCGCGCGCCATTGCAACAACATATTTCAGTTCCATGTCTACTTAAGGTACAGATGTGCAGAAATAAAATGAATATAATGTCGGTGTTATACATTCAGCTTCACTCGGCTTATTCCGGGTACCAACATGATACCTCGGTAGCAAGGCAGTAGCGATGTTATGGAATTTAACGGTTAACCGTATATCGATCGATCCTTCCGCATATAGACCGTATAAAACCTTTTCCCAAGAAATTGTTGAAGGGATCAAAACTAAATCCATCAGGGGATGTCAAGCATCCTATTGTTTTTTTATTTTTTGCCATAACAATTATAAACAAATTGGTCAATTAAAAACAACAACATTGAAAGCCATTACGAACCTTTTAGATCATCAGATCATATGTTCATATGTATTTGACGTTGTTCATTTCAATACATTTTTTCATAAAACAACACCAAATGTATCGATAATGCTGAAACATGCAAGAAAGGCTGGTTTGAGTGGTTAGGTGGATATTTGGGCGGTTTTGTAAAATTTGAAAATGAGCAAGTTTTTGACTCAAGCTAATTTCCTAGTTGTAGATACAATTAGTACAAACATAATGGAAAAAGATTCATCTTTGGAGAGTGATTTCCTCATATTTAGATCGTCTCCCCAAATTAAAAAAAATCAGCCCTATTCTCTCATTTTAGGCCTACTTTTGTTCTTGTCAAAAGTGACAAATAGAAATAACGGTAGCTGTCAGCTATTCGAAATGTCTGACACGTTTCCCAACATTGTTTCGAAATTATCCGAAACTTTAAAATTTGACATTTCCAGTGGTCGGAAAGGGAGGTTCTCCTATCCCATGTGACTATCATAATATCAATTTGATTTGCTCATGGCAAATGACTGAAGACTATTAAAAGAACTATCATATTTTTTAACTAAACGTGTACCGCATAGTAACAGAAACTGAATAATTGATCTGATTTGTAGCAGGAACACAATGAGATTAAGATTTCGTTTTGCCACTAAAATACAGAAAAAGCAAAAAGTCATTTCAACACGACATTCAGCAGTTTAAAACAATATGTATAAAGACTAGAAATGTGGTTACCGTTTGTACAACTATCCGTTACCTTTTACTAGGGGCTACGGTTCGTCCCGTTAAAAAAACCGATTTGAATAGGAATTCCAGATCGAAAAGAAAAACTGGTTGATTTCGTGATGGCCGCCATCTTGTTTTCAAAACCCGTACCGGTTTCTCTTCCGACCTGGAATTCTTATGCTTATTAAGAAGAAACAAGTATATATATAAAAAGAAATATTTGATGATTTATACATGATTGGAGATGTAGAAGTCCGATGTAAATGTTTTCTGACGGGACGATCCGTTGCTCCGGAAGTGACAGAAAAAAACTGGTAATATACAAGGAACGGATTAGGTGATACGGTATCAGGACAATAACTGCCGTTGCATTGTGCAATGGGATATTGAAGTGAACTGGTTAGACTTATGAATCTAGTTTAATGTAGATTTTTTCCGGGCATTGAGGACTGATGTGAGCGGAATGCTACAACACACTCACCTTCCATGATTGACATTGTATCGTCATTCTGCGCTCACCAACCTAAGGGAGACAACTCTCAAATATTTTAGTTCTTCCTAGGTGTACTGTTCTATTTAATTCCCAATTGTTATGACATTTTGAATGTATACGATACACTATAAATGGTCTTGCTGGTTTGCGGGCCTCCTTGGCTGGTATGTGAGATTAAAGTTCCATATTGTCTAGCACTATAAAATAGTACAAGTACAAGCAGCCACACATACACACGTACAAGCACGTCACTATATAAGTGCAATAATCTTGGACGCAATGCTAAACCCCATTTCATCTCGCCTAGATTCCTCATGATTCGACCCGTGAAGATCCGGGGTAGAATAGAACTTCAGCAACCCATGCTTGCCGTAAAAGGCGACTATGCTTGTCGTATGTGGCGACTAACGGGATCGGGTGGTCAGGCTCGCTGACTTAGTTGATTCATATCATCGATCCCAATTGCGTGGATCGATGCTCATGATATCTGTCACTGGATTGTCTGTTCCAGACTCGATTATTGACAGACCGCCGTCATATAGCTGGAATATTGCTGAGTGCGGCGTTAAACAACAAACCAAAGCAAATCCTTATGATTCTGTTTCTCACCCACAGGCAACGGAAAACTAACACAAAAGGACGCAGGAGGAATGCTGGTAACGTAAAGGGGGTAAAACGAGGTAATTGACATAATGAACCACTTAAATGTTTCCCAACGGAACCTGCAAATGATCACAAATATCTTTGTTGTTTAACGCTGCACTCAACACTATTCCAGCTGTATGACGGCGGTCTATTAATAATCGAATCTGGACGAGATAAACCAGTGGTTGATATCATGAACACCGTCCCACGTGGTTGTTAGTCACTGAGAGTAACCGCCTCTTACGACCAGCATATGTTGCTGGGGACCTAGTCTGACCAGAAATACCCCACAACTGTCAACATTTTAAGTGGCTTAACAAATACCCGCTTTCTACGAGTGAGTGCGTTGGGTTTAACATCGCTTTTAACAGTATTCCAGTTATAACGCGGCGTGTCTGTCTAATGTGGGAGGAAAGCCCGAAGGAATGCAGGTCTCTGACGTTTCTCACTTTGGTGAAACCCACGAGCCCGAGGATGGTGCTGACAAACCTATAAACATAATCGGGGCGAACCGGGATTCGAACCAACAATCATAGGTTTCTGGTGTACCCAAGGGACGCAACTCTGCACAGCGAATCGCGGCGTCTTAGACGACTGGGCCACCCATGCCCCCTGTTTTCTATGAGCTGAAGATGACGAATTAAGTACACTGGATCTATAAATAAAACACCTGTATGTGTTTCGTATGTAATTTGTTTGTGCTTTCACATTGTAATATTATATATCCAGGTCGGACTTCAAACACCCTTGACCTACGGGTGCGAAGCGCAGCATGAACAAGTTTCTCAAGAATAAGAAAAAAGGTACGTGTGACTGGGTGTCTGTGTCTGCGTGCGTGCGTTCGTGTGTGTTAGCGTGCGTGTGTATGTCTGCTAGTACGAGGCCGAACCCATGCCGGTTATAAAGTGATAACCTACAGAGATACCATGCCTCAGTGTAACATTGACATCTCGCAAAAGTACGGTACGCTCCAAACTGACCAGTCCTTGTTTTTGTACCCTTAATGCCTAGCGCCAGGCAGGGTAACAGCAAGTACTATCTGTTAACGTCTTGGTATAACGTGGCCTGGCATCGAACCCCCGACCTTCCGCACCAAAGCAATCTCTACCCACCGGACCATGGAGGTGGTGCTATCGTAGACTAACCTGAATATACAATATAGCCAACAGAGACACGGTTGCAATAATTTCTTCGTAAATTACCAAATTCCTCATATCTTTTAAATTTAATGAATTTCTGGCAATCAGACATGAGTGTAACAATATATAATTGACATTATAAAAGAAATTGTAAAAATCAGGGTTTGCTTAGGGTCTTCTTGTCCAACAGGATCTACATGCCTTCAGAAATTTTTGAAATCATTTTGAAAAAATATCAGAAACTTTGTTTTTCTCTTTTCAACACTTTGGGCAAATATTAAGGATTTTTGGTTTCCATCATAAAATGAAGAGGCAAGGCAATCTCCAAATGGTTTATTTCAGATGCTTTCAGAAAGCTTTTGTTCCTAATGTTTTTAACATGGGCAATTCTTAAGAGATAAAAATGGGGCAGTTCAAACGTATTCTAAAGCATGATGTCACAGATGTCACAATTAGATTTTCTCCTACAGAAATTTGCTTTTTCTGATAGTAGTCTTGTTATGTAAATGACCAAAACGTACCAGAATAAGAAAGACAAATGGCTAGTTTACAGTCATCAATACATTTCTTACAATATTGCATTAGTTCCGTAACTTTAAGCCTAATATATACCTCTTTACACCTCGACCTTATTCTTACAGAGCAAGGGCGGAGTAATGGCAGCAAGACACTTACAATCATACCAGGGAAAGGTAACCACAGCCCCGATGGACGTGCCATTCTGAATCCGGCTGTGCAGAAACACCTAAGAAAAAACGGCTACAAGTTAGTAATCACGTACCATTTACAAAACTTCCTTATCTAACGGGGTCTGAGACACTGGCATTCATTTTGCATGATGCGACCCTAGGCCCTGCCAGACTCCGATGGGCGGGGCCTCGAACACGAGATTCGGTCCAACTATGACCCTTGTTCCGTCATTCTCTTGGTCGTGGGTTCTACCAAAGTGGTTAACCTCTAATCATAGGATCTGCATCACCAAAATTCACCTGACATGCCGTAACATTACTAAAATACTGCTCAACCCGGCATCACTCCTTCCACCACTATGGAAGAATCAATAACTGTTTAAGATGCACACGATTTCAAGAAAATAATAAATATTTAGACAATATATCTGAAAATATATTGCTTTGGAGTACTATTTTCCGAGAACAATGGGCTTGGTTGGGTCTTAAGTGATGATCGATCTTTTCAGAGTGATTTTATGAGCTCATGTTTCTTTACACCATCGTCAATTTAAATGAATTTTTTGACACGTGTTCTTGAGCAAACATACCTTTAGGGAGTGAGTTGGAATGGTTTTAGACCGCTTTTAGCAATACTCCAGTAATATAACGGCGGGTGGACACCAGAAATCAGCTTCACACATTGTAGCAATAAGAGGAATCGAACCTGTGTCTTTGGCATGATGAACCAACTGTTCACATACCAACAATCCTACCCCTACATCACAAGAAATTGTGAAATGTGTGCATACATGTAGTTTCATTCACCATTAGAAATATACAGCTGTTTCAAACTTTGTATATGAAAGGGAAAGAAAATTTGAGGTTTAGCCTAACCGGAAATGGGCATCACCCATTGTACCCATGTAGGGAATCAAACCTCGGCCTTAGCTTTTAGGTACCCCGGTGCCAATTAGGTACATGTTGTTTGATTGTCTGTTGTTTGCACTCAGTACTATTCCAGCCATATGACGGCTTTCTGTAAATAAGTCTGGACCAGACAAAACAGTGATTGACATTGTAAGCATCGATCCAAGCAATACGATGACAGGCGTCAACGAAGTCAGCGAGCCTGACCACCCGATCCCGTTAGTCGCCTTTTATGGCAAGTATGGGTTGCTGAAAACCTATTCTACTCCGGATCTTCAAGGTACAGGTAATAATAAGCCAGTTATCTAACATTTGTTTTGTTGACTATGCTCACTGTGTTCGTTTTATATTTCAGATGTCGCAAGGATCCCCAAAACGACGGCCGTGTCTTGGTTGATCTGGATTACTCTAATATAGTTTAAGAAGGCTCAGCACCATAACCATACCTGTGTATATCCTGTAGGCCAAGCGTCAAATCAAATTTCTGGGAACGATGAGATGCAATCAACCAAGCCACCGAACCTGACGCCTCAGTTACATGTTTCCAATTATTTGTTTTGTACCTATCGTCTTGTAAAATTTACGTTAAAATAAATATTTTCGTTTTGTTAATGTGCATGTGTTGTGTCGGGGAGTCTGGTTGTTTCCATCCATTGTTAAGATGGCAATGGCAATGCCCTCTTGTCATATGGCGTGTATGAGTAAGTGTGGATTTAACGCCACTTTGACCAGCACATCATTTATATTACGGCGCGGTTCACTTAACGTGGTTCACTTAACGTGGAAGGCAATCAAGGTGCTGCAGAACGTATACCCTCACCACGGTATTGGTGCAGACAAACCAGAGATGATGGCGAGGGTGAATCTGGTATTCGAAACACGACCAATGGATACAGGCACAACTAAGGGACGCTACTTTGAGCAGCGAATTACTGCGTGTGTCTTAAAACAAATCGAATTGTATTACCAGCTTTGGTATTGGAAGTAACACACATTTATTGCACATCTGGCGTCTAGTGGATACAGCGGATGACCGGAAGAGCGGAAGGTCGGGGTTCGATGCCGGGCCGCGTCATGAAAAAAAACCTGTTAAAAGATGGTACTTCATGTTACCCTGCCTGGCGCTAGGCATTAAGGGTACAAAACAAGAACTTGTGAGTTGGAGTGTATCGTTCTTGTGCGAGATATCAAAGTTATAAGGTCGGGGCTTCGATCCCAGGGCGCGTTTTAGCAAAGACATTAAAAGATGGTACTTGTTGTTAACCTGTCTGTCGCTCGGCATTAAGTGGCTGAAACAAGGCCTGGTCGGCTCGGAGTCAGTATACTATGTCTGAGCGGGGTATTCATGTTGCACCGCGGCATGGTATCTAGTAACAACGAGGGGTGTATGAGTGAATATACTTACGGTTCGAGCAAAGGAAACCATGACAACCATGAATTGTGACGAATGATCTTTTAATAGGAATACGTCACGTTAATCTGTACTGTGAGAATCTTTAAGCTGTTGTGGAGTGAATGTTAGGTAAAACAGTTCTTTATGGCAAATATTGAGCTGGCTTCCTGGTGCAACAGAAAAAAACATGAACCGTGGCTTTCGACCCCATCGCTGCAGCAGTTGCTGTGATGAAAGGAACATGACTTGTCTCGTACTTTTGATTCAGTCCTCGAAACCACAGTAATCACGAATGTTATTTATTTATCTCGGGTTTGGAGTAAAGGTACTAAAGGGATCTAATTATTTGAATTCCATGAGTTTTCGGCCCCAGGTATCAAGTTTGGTAAGGTTTGTGCGCACACGCAACCTTTAATTTAATAACATTACCATGATTTTAGATAAATGTCACCGCAGCTCTTTTTCGGTTTGCGTCTATATTTCAGTCGTATTTCGACAAATCTAAAAAATAGAAGACAGTCAAAACTGGTCAGAATCTTGATTTTTAAAGAGATTTTCAGTTGAATTTGAGTGAGCGTTTCATGATCACTTGTCTACTTTTTTTAACCAGTCTCCCAATTCGCACAACAAACACGCCTTTTTTGGTCATACATGATTTCCCCTTGTATTTCAATATACCGATTACAAATTATCCTTTTTTTCTATTTTCGTCTATATTTGAGTCAAGAAGCAGACTCACGTTGAAGGGGCTTTAAGTGTTTTCACAATTTGGTCACGTTTTGTTTTTGAGACCAAACCATGCGGTAATTGCAAATATCAGGGATATTTCATGAAGCAGTTCTCCTTTATAGCCAATGCATTTTAAACATTTTAACAAAAATAAGACGCGACCTCTGTGATGTAAAAAAATAAACATGTTAAAATTAGTAACTTGCAATTCAAATAATTTATTCTCATCTTTTATTTCCAAATTATTGTAGTACAAGTATCACTGACTGTAGTGACAACAGAGGCGCTCCCCAAGTTCAACGTGTGGTGCCGGTATCACTGAATTCGAATGTAGTGACAACAGAAGCGGTTCCCACGTCCAACGTGTAGTACAAGTATCACTGACTGTAGTGACAACAGAGGCGGTCCCCCACGTCCAACGTGTAGTACAAGTACCACTGACTGTAGTGACAACAGAGGCGTTCCCCCACGCCCAACGTGTAGTACAAGTATCACTGACTGTAGTGACAACAGAGGCGGTCCCCCACGTCCAACGTGTACATGTAGTTCCAGTATCACTGACTGTAGTGACAACAGAGGCGTTCCCCCGCGTACAATGTGTAGTACAAGTATCACTGACTGTAGTGACAACAGAGGCGGAGCCCCACGTCCAACGTGTAGTACAAGTATCACTGACTGTAGTGACAACAGAGGCGGTCCCCCACGTCCAACGTGTAGTACAAGTATCAGTGACTGTAGTGACAGCAGAAGCGGTCCCCACGTCCAACGTGTAGTACATGTAAGACTGACTGTAGTAACAACAAAGGCGTTCCCCCACGTCCAACGTGTAGTTCCAGTATCACTGACTGTAGTGACAACAGAGGCGTTCCCCCGCGTTCAAAGTGTAGTACAAGTATCACTGACTGTAGTTACAACAGAGGTGATTCCCCACGTCAAACGTGTAGTACAAGTATCACTGACTGTAGTGACAACAGAGGCGGTCCCCACGTCCAACGTGTAGTACAAGTATCACTGACTGTAGTGACAACAGAGGCGGTCCCCCGCGTCCAACGTGTAGTGCAAGTATCACCGACTGCAGTGACAACAGAGGCGTTGCCCAACGTCCAACGCGTAGTACAAGTATCACTGACTGTAGTGACAACAGAGGCGGTCCCCCACGTCCAACGTGTAGTACAAGTATCACTGACTGTAGTGACAGCAGAAGCGGTCCCCACGTCCAACGTGTAGTGCAAGTATCACTGAATTCAGTGACAACAGAGGCATTGCCCAGCGTCATACGTGTAGTACAAGTATCACTGACTGTAGTGACAACACAGGCGGTCCCCACGTCCAACGTGTAGTTCCAGTATCACTGACTTTAGTGACAACTGAGGCGTTCCCCCGCGTACAACGTGTAGTGCCAGTATCACTGACTGTAGTGACAACAGAGGCGTTCCCCCACGTCCAACGTGCAGTACAAGTATCACTGACTGTAGTGACAACAGAGGCGGTCCCCCACGTCCAACGTGTAGTACAAGTATCACTGACTGCAGTGACAACAGAGGCGTTGCCCAACGTCCAACGCGTAGTACAAGTATCACTGACTGTAGTGACAACAGAGGCGGTCCCCCACGTACAACGTGTAGTACAAGTATCACTGACTGTAGTGACAACAGAGGCGTTGCCCAACGTCAAACGTGTAGTACAAGTATCACTGACTGCAGTGACAACACAGGCGTTCCCCCGCGTCCAACGTGTAGTACAAGTATCACTGACTACAGTGACAACAGAGGCATTGCCCAGCGTCATACGTGTAGTACAAGTATCACTGACTGTAGTGACAACAGAGGCGGTTCCCCACGTCCAACGTGTAGTACAAGTATCACTGACTCTAGTGGTGACCAAGTGTAGTTGCCCATATGGTCTCGAGAAAAATAAGTCATAATGTAATATAATAATTTCATTCTTGAAAGTGCAAAAGGATTTGTTTAGTTACAGTGTAGAAAAGTATATGACCTGTTGAATAGGAAACCACTAATGAAATAGTTTTAAATGTGAGCCAACCTTTTGTACACACCTCAAATATGGCTTTGGTCTATTTATGAAACAATCACAACAGTTACTTTTGTTGATCGGAAGATTTAGCATCACATATAACGGGTTTTAAATATACATGTACATACACTGGAGCAAAGTTACAAAATATGAATCATTTGTCAACGTATTTCGTAAAGACAAATATTGCTACTATGAGATGAAGCGTTAGATAAGTCTTTTACGGGGCTTATTGTATTGGCAAAAAATAACAATTAATATTATTAACTGGGTGTCGTATTTTCCCCGTAAGCTGGATGCTGGTCAACTTCTCTAAATGGGGGTGAGGCAGCTCCTTGTGGGGGGCGGGTCTACTCCTGTATGTGGGGCGGTTATACTCCACCTTGTGGGGTCGGGTTTGTCAAACCTTGTGGGGGTGGAAATGCTTCACCTTGTGGGGGCGGGTTTGTCAAAACTTGTAGGGGTGGAAATGCTTCACCTTGTGGGGGCGGGTTTGTCAAACCTTGTAGGGGTGGAAATGCTTCACCTTCTGGGGGCGGGTGTGTTCCCTGCCTCTCTGGAGGACAGGCTAGTTGAGCGTAGTTTGGAGCAGGCGGGTATGCCCGGGAACCGATTGAACCGGGTAGCCATATCCAAGAGTATAGGCTGCGTTGGTTGTGCCTGAAAGAATCAACAAGCGGACGAGTGGTTTACACCAGTAGATGTCAATAGTACAGCTACATCACAGCGACTTCCAAAGTACGGAATTCTAGATCAGACAAATCATTGGCCGATAAAACAATAACCAGCTCCATAAGCGTACAATGTCACGATGGTCGATGGGATTAAGCTACGAGGAGACGTGATCATTGCACTCTGGGTACGAGGAGACGTGATCATTGCACTCTGGGTACGAGGAGACGCGATCATTGCACTCTGGGTACGAGGAGACGTGATCATTGCACTCTGGGTACGAGGAGACGTGATCATTGCACTCTGGGTACGAGGAGACGTGATCATTGCACTCTGGGTACGAGGAGACGTGATCATTGCACTCTGGGTACGAGGAGACGTGATCATTTCACTCTGGGTACGAGGAGACGTGATCATTTCACTCTGGGTACGAGGAGACGTGATCATTGCACTCTGGGTACGAGGAGACGTGATCATTGGGATCTGGGTGATGGGCGAGGGTTTTCTGGTGGTCGCCCGTCTCTTCACACATACCACCAACAGGACCCAGAATCACAATCTCTCTGGTGTGGTAATGGTAAAACAGGAACAGTTATAGTTGACATTGAACATTTCAATAAATGCTTTCAAGTACATACTTGGACACACGTGGATTGAAGTTAATACACTTGATTGCTTTACACCTCATACACATTTTAATAATATGTTTAGTATGTAAAAGAGTTGAAAAATACAAAGGACGAAAATTGAGCATTGTGTGTGACGCATTGTCTGGCACA